AGGACTTTTTTTTTGTTTTCGTTGCTCAATCAATTGTTCTTTTTTCTTCTTTTGCTCTGGCGTGTAGACCCGTCCTTCGGGGCCGGGCTTGCATGCACCCTTTTTTCTTTTCGTCACCCTACTGCTTACGCTTCACTGCCGGACTTCGGCGTAGTGTTGCTGCCGCTGCGCCCCTCGCGCCCCCACACAAACACACGAGCGACGGCACTCTGCCGCCGTGGCGCACCGGTGAAAAGGGGGCGGGGCGCGAGGACGGCAGCGGCAGCAACACTACGCCGAAGTCCGGCAGTGAAGCGTGAGTGATGCGCGTGGATACGAGAAGGAACTCCTTTAAAGAAAACATTTTTTTTTTAATGGGAAAACATCATGAAGGACGATTTTTTTTTTTTCACTGGGGCTATTTTGGGGGAGTTAATCATAATCGAGGACGTTTTTTTTTTTTACTTTTTGGCATATCAACTGGGGTTTGCCGCTGCGTGAGCCGCTGCGCCATCTCGGGCCTCACAACTCCTCTTTTCCTCCTGCATCGCTGCCGTGTGTTTGTGTGGAGTCCAAAATGTTTTGCAGTTGCCTTGCGTTGCGTGTCCGTAGGTAGACGCAGCCCCACACACACGATACAGACATGCCTATTGCCGTGCACGTGGGTGGCGGTTTTGTAGTCTGTGCCGGCAGTTGCTCCCTGTGCGGTTGCGTCGCTTAGCCGCACACACGCACGGATGTGTGGGGTTGCGAATGCCGGGTGTAGTGCGAGAGAGGAGAGGAAGTGGAGCAGCGTCGCAGTTGTCGTGTGCCTTGCACTTCACACGCATACACACCCGCTTCTGCGGCGAGGAGTAAACGTCGTCGTGGGGGCGTGGCGTGGCCGCACGATGCTGCGGTCGGGGGTTCATTTGGCTGCGCCGGCAGGGGGGCGGTGAGAGGAGTGGCGAGGCCGCGGTGCAGTGCGGCTGCCCTGCCCTCGGCGGTGAGTGAGTGGGTGGCTATTTTTTTGCCTCTCATCCTCTTTTTGGCTGGCGGTGAGTGTTTAGCCGCAGCTGAAGCCAACAACTGCCGCCAACACGAAGGAGGGAAATCAGGGCAACAATGCCTGAAACGCGAACGAGGGAGCGTGCTTGTACGAAGAGGGGAACTCCCACCACTAATGTGCCGCGCCGGGGACGGCGGCGGGCGAGGGCGAGCCCGGATGGCGACTCGGAGCAGCAACACGCGGCGCAACGCCGAAGGGTGGAGGACGTGCTGATGGCGGGAGTAGGTCCATTCGGTGAAGTGAAGCTTAACGACTTCCTACGGGAGTACGTTCGCAGCGACAAAGTCGTGGATGAAGTCGGCAATGTTCCGATGGGTGGATTTTGTTTGTGATTTCTACCGCTACGTCAAAGACTTGAGTCTTACCTTGGGCATTGTCGGTGTACCACAGAATCGGCGATTTGTTGACGCACGCGAGCTTGCGGAGGGCGAGGTGGTGACTCTCCACGACTGGAGGGAACGCGCGATTCGGTCCGGAACTCGTGTTGGATTGAGAAGACTCAGAGCAGCCCTTGCGGAGGCGGAGGAAGAAAAGGGGGGGAAAAAAAAAGGAAGGCAACGCAAGGGCAAAGCAGAAGGAGGTATTTCCCAGGCGACCGCGCTACCGGAGGGATTTCTACGAGTCGGTGCTCAACGCGAGGTGGAGCCACGTCTTGGGGGCTCCCGAGGGCGAAGAGGGGCATGAGAAAAAGGCGATGCGAATGGTGGTGAAGGAGGGCCAACCACCAACAGTGTCGTGGCAGGGCACGTCTCGATGCTTGCCTTTCCAAAAGAATAGCGACGCATACCAATCCTCTCCACTGCGCCTCAGGCTGATGACACTCACCTCCGAAAAGGGGGGGGGCGCACTCGCTGCAGGAGGAGGCCGCTCCTGTTGACTGCTACATAAACTGTGAGGTGGAGCGGGTGTGGCAAGTTGCCAGCAGCAGGATGGACCAGTGGCACTGCAACCTTCTGAACGAGTCTTCGCGCCCTAGGCCCTTCTTAGTGCTTGGGGCAGGCGGGTCGGGGAGGTGGATGAACGTTGGCTTCTACATCCTCTACCAGCTGCTGCATTGGCGGGCCGAGAAACCCGGTTTGGTTGTCTACTGCCTTGGGAGAGAGTTGGCGTGCGTGTTTGGCAAGGAAGAGAAAAAAGTGACAGAGCACGAGGGCGAGTTCAAAATCAGAAGGCGTCTGAGGGAACCGTCTTGTTATTGGGGGATAGGATTTGTGATCTACGACGCGTCGGAGGAAGGAGAGCCGCAGCGGAGGTAATATTTGAGCCTCATGGCTGGAGCTTGCTTGTCCTGGCAACCACAAACGAAGACAACTTCGGAGCATGGGAGGATACAGTGCGTGCAAGTTGCATCATCATGAAATATCCGGACGAGAACGACGTGAGGGCGGCGTGCGCCTGGAGAGCGCGCGGCCGTTCCGCGCTTGCGCAGGCGGCGTAGTGGGAGACGGTCAAAGCCCGCATGGGTTCCGTCGGGCCGCGGCCACGTGACATCCTCAGCGAGGCCGAGTTCAGTGGGCGCACTGCGGGCGGCTGGCGCCTCGCTTGCCGAAGGCGACTGCGCCCGGGAGGGCGGGGGATTGTGGCGGGCGGAGAGCCCGTTCCGGTGGCCGGTGACAGTTGTGCGGGGGAGCGGCGCCTGCGGTTTGGGAGGCCATCCGCCCCGCACCGGCGTGTGACTCCCTCGGGCAAAAAGTGTTGGGCCGTTTGGTGGCGGTCGTGGTCCCTGCGGCCGCCCCCTCGCCGTTGCCGCGTGCCTCTAGTTTTGCCTAAAGATACTGAAACCGAGTGCCCCGGACCCACACACACGCAAGGGAGGAGGGCCTTTCGCGGGCGCGGCGTAGAAAAGAGAGGGAGGCTCGCGGGGCTGCGGCCTGCCAACGGGACGGCAGGCACGGCGTCGCGTCCCGAGCAAAGGGCTTAGAGATGTGGGCGCCGCAGGGGCTTTCAGGCTGAGAGGGCGGATGGACGCAACTTGCGGGGAGTTGCGCGGGAGCGGCGGTCAGGAGCTTTGCGCTGTTGGGCGCCTTTTGATTTAAATTATTGTTTTTTGAAAACACTCGGGAAGAAATTTGGTTGGGCCGCGGTTTGCGGCGGCGGGTGCGCATCACATTACCGCCAGCACAGCGGAGCAGCGGCCCGGTGAGTAAATGAGTAGGTACATTTTAAACTGTTGGGAAAAGTACTGCCGGTGAGTGTTCGTGGGGGATATTATTTGCGTGCGGCGTGCGGGGAGAACACGCCAAGACACACGCACGCGGCGGGGTGTGG